CTTTTTGCTCTTTTTTGAAACCCCAGTCAAGAGCGCTCATCTTGGAAAGCTCTTCCCTCATCATCCAATATTCTTCAACTGAGCCTTCCTTGTAAGGAATCCCTCTTTACAAGAACCCTGTCATCCAAAGGGCCAGGAAAACTGGCACTCTCCCTTTCTGAACCAGGCATCCGCTGCTGTCATCAGAGCCTTGTGGCTCCACCCCTGCTTATCCACAAATGGCTGTCCTGTCATCACTAGCACTCCCCTGCTACTGCAGAGAATCCAGAAAGAACTTAACAATAAGAAATCTGACCACCACCACAGAGTCACTAAGACAGCGTGCTAGGCACAATCCTTTGTCTTGTATGCTCTGAAAATTATTTACATGCAATCAAAACTACAAGCATGCACACTCCTGCCCCATGAAATCACCAACCTAAAATGTTCTTTCTCTCTAGAAAAGTGAGACCCCATCATTTATGTTATCAGAGTCCAGTTCCTTCACGGAGACTTTCTTAGCCACGACAGTTTGTTTTTCTATACACTTAAAAAAAAAATTCTATAGAGATCATTAATCAACTACTATCTATAAAATGTCCCTATATTTGAAGGATGTACTAAGTGAAACTACCTCACCCATAGCTGGTTATTAACATATTAGAATTGTTGGAATGTGCTAATTCAATGATGAAGTTCCAAAATACACATAACCTCAAAAATGTTCTGTGTTCTGGGAAACATGGACTTAAATAAATACAACCAATTCTTGTTGTTGATACTGTTAAGTGTGGTACTTCTCAGTCTTTTATACGATGATGCACATGTTGCGAATCTCTGTAAGAGGAAAAAATAATAGGCAGTGCTTCTCAAATTGATTTGCCCTTTACAAGAGCACACCTATTAGCACACATCCCAACAGCATTCTTCCAACATACTCTTGGAATTGCTGAGCTAATTCAATTGCTGCTCAATTCTATCATCTGGGCAGCACTGAGTAGAAAACCATATTTTCTACTGGGGTAAGGAAATAAATTTGCTTTGAGATGCCATCAATTGGAAGGCACTCTTAACACCCTAGGTTACAGGGGGAAAAAATGTACATTAAATGTGATCATAATGTTTAAGACCCATTTGGATTCTGAAATTGGAAAATACTGAAATGGGTGGGAGGTGGGATGTATCTTAGAATCAAACTAGTATAGCATACCCAGAGTTTTTGTTTAAAAGCAGCCTCTAGGAAGGTTGAGAATAGTACCAGGAATGGGCCTTGACTATCTGTGAGCCAGTAACAATAGTCCTAGTGACCAAAGAGAAATAAAATAACGTAATGACTGCCCCACAACAGACTTATTACAGGGAGCAAAGATACCAGGGGACCACTGCTAAGAAAAGTAAACAAAAGTGATACGGAGAAAGGCTACTCTCACGATAGGAAAAATCCCAGCAGCAAAAACTAGGGGTAACACCCAAAACATAAACATCAAGTTATGGAAAGGAATTTTAAAACAGAAATGTTCCCTGCTTAGATTAAGTGGGAGAAACTATTTAAATGAGCTACCAGATCTGAAGAATTATGACCCAAAGGCTGTCCCTTCACTCAGTGCTGATTACTGTCAGGAAGGCATGTTTGGGCTTTGCAGTTTTATCTACTAAAACACTAAGTGGTACACTTGAATTTTTGAATAGATTTTTGATTTACTGATAGGTTTCTCTAGTGCTAATCATTCCAACACTAAAACAAAACACAAATGGAAAGTTGAGATAAAGCATATTAAAGTGCTGACTGACTTCCCCATTCACCTAGTCCATTTGGGTGCCACATGACATAAACCTCATTTCTTCCTAAGGATGTTATCTCAGGAATGATCCTGACTCAAGCAGGCTCCCAAAGCCTCTCTGAAGCAAAGCAGTTAAAACTCAAGGCCACAATCTAGGTCATAGCAAGTCATGGCAACCCTGCATGGTTTGGGGGACAAGAAGATGTACTTTTGACTGGGTCAAATCCAAACCGTGCTTGAGAATAAGCTAATTTACCCACGGCATCCTGCTGATACTGCACAGCTGCCCCAGAATGCCTGCCTTCCTCCCCCTTGGAGAGAAGGAGGGCCTCGGTTACTGTCAATCAATGCTACCATCCTTCAGAAGGCATGGAAGGCCTTTGCCAGTTTTGGCCACTATGGGGCAACCAATAAGGTGCACTTCACACTCCCCAGAAGGCCGTCATTCAGGAAAGATACCACTAAGAATTCTGTCTAAATTTGCTCTTAAGTGATTTTACCTGGCCTTCAACCATAGGTTCAAACTGTCAGAACTGTATGCAACCTCCTCTCCACAAATCTGAGAGTCTCAAAGAAAAGGGAGTAATTGTTGGATTTATCAATATAAGGGTCACCAATTCAGTCTGACCCAAAGTGATCAAGAAACCAGAGACTACGTATTTTATAGTATGAAAAGAAGGTGTAATCTTAGCTTTTTTTGTGAAAATCATTTTATTTGAAGATCAATCAGAATCATCAAAACTGGACAATGGTAAATGACATGGGTAATTAGAATATAACATTCTTAAAGCAACTTCCTAAAACACCTAGAAGAAAACATGTCTCTATAAGTACTAAAATAATGAATTTCAGAACCATCCTCATCCCTCTAAGTGATTCTATAGGCATGGTCTCTGCACTGGCAGCATCAGCATCATCTGAAACTTGTTAAAAATGCAAACTGTCGGACCTTCATCCCAAACCTAGAGAATCAAAGACTCGGGAGGTGGGGGTGTATATAGCACAATAATCTGTAATCTAACAAGCCATCCTGGATATTCCGATGCTCATCTAGGATCAGGGAAGATGCACATCTGGGGTGTCTCTGGAATCTGATTAAACCCTTATTAACCGAGGGACAATTTTTCGCCTCCTTGCTCAAACTGGCATTGGCTTTTAATCTCACAGACTGATTTTACCAAGGAGGGGTTGAATACTTAGTTCCAGGCCACTGTGAAAGCCAAGTCAGAGCTCCACCCCAGGGCCTGCTGTCTTCTTCAGCAACCTTGAATTTCAAAGCAAGGCCTTGCTGACATGACAATTCTGGGTCTCAGGACCATGAACGTTGATAAGGCATTCCAGGTGGTCTCCTAATCTAATCTATACCATGCTGCCTCCCTCATAGAAATATGAGGACTGAAGTTTTAATCCTTAAAATCAAAAGAGAGGTGGATTTGAGGAAAGGTGAGGGTAAATAGGTACTTCCAAAGACATGGCCAACTAAGTCCCTTGGTAAAGAGTGGTAGAGGGGAGAAGACTCAGGTGTTTTGTTATAATTAAGGATTAATTAATTTTTAAAAACTAAGTAAAGAGCTCAGAGACAATATCTGGCATGAATGGTGCTTTGAAGTTTTCTTAGCACTTTTCATTTTCATATCTTATCCAAGTCTCACAACAACCCTGCAATGGAGAGGGATAATGCTGTGATTATCCCCATTCGACAGAAGAGAAAACTCAAGTTCAGAGTGGGTAATATTTGTCCACCAGATCTGTCATCGGCTGTAAAGCTGCAACTTGACCTCAGGTCTATCTCACTCTAGAATTTGTTTAGTGTAACCGCCCTATGTGATTTCCACATCTGGAAATTCACCCCAAAGTGGACTAACCCCAAGGAAAAAGCAAAAGAGAAAAATCATTCAGCAGAAAATAGGGGGTCTCTAAAACATGGCACTTGAGCAGTGTGTGGGTGCCCCTTTAAGAACTTAACACACAAACCCAACAGCCAAGGTGTTCAGCCAAAAAAGAAGAAAAAAAAGAGGCATATTTCTAGCCTGCATAATCATTTCTGGACGTATTCCCACTAGCAGCCTCCGAGGCAACAGCGGCTCACAGCCTGGGCTGAAGCTCCTCCACCGCGCCCCCCCCACCCCACCCTCCACCACCAGGGTTATGACAGCGCAGCTCTGACTCGTGCGCAGGCAAAACCCCAAAACTCAAAAACAAGAAGTGAAAAAAGTGGAGCCAGGAGAAATTATGGGCATCTTCCATACCCTTGCAATCCACACAATGCCAGTTCTAGAGTCCTGGGGTCGCCTAGAACTGGACCTTAAGAGAAGATGGGTTGAGTGACACCTTCTGTGGACCCGCTGGCCCTTTTTTCACACCCAGTCCCGGAGGAAGAATAGAAACGGGAAGGGGTTCGGTATGAAGTCCTGGGCCAGAATCAAAGGCAGATACACCCCACACCCTCTCCAAAGGAACAGTATGTCTTACTAAATTCTCTACCTGGCCCTCCAGGTCCTGTCCTCTGCGATGATGAACAGGGTGGGGCGGTGGGGTGTTATAAACCCATGGAAAAAGGCAGGAGGAAAATTCGGGCCATCCACCTACTCCAGCCTCGCTGCCCCGCCATGTGTGTGAGGCTAGATTCCGGCGCGCGCCGCAAGAGTGAATTCCGAACCCGGCGCCCTTGACTAGGTCTGAGGTTGGGGATGGGACATCACCTGGTACTAAACGTCCTGGGGACAGAGAGCTGTGCCTGCCAGAGCAGCCGCCTCAGTTTTGGCAGCAATGATTTTCCTAGAAGACGCCACCGTTCACAAAGATCGGAGTGATTCTCTGATTTTAGCCTGGGGTAGGAGGACTCACCCGAAGGGCTCAGGGACCCACCGAGTTCCCCACACTGGGATCCTCCAGGCGGCACGCTCGGGGATCACACTACCTTGGGGATAGTAAGGAAAGAAAAGCTCTATCTTCAACTTTCTCAGAGGGAACTGCTCCACTCCGGGATTTGCCCAATCTTGCCCACACCCTGAGTCCCAGGTTGGGAGAGAATCAGGAATCGAAGCCCCTTCCACGCTCACAAAGCCCCTCTCCCGATGCCCGCCAACTTGAAAGCATCTCTCTGATGCCTGCCTAGTCCTCCCGCCCGTAGCCAAGCCCCTGCCTTGGCCGCCCGCAACCAACAGAGCGCCAGGCTCCCCAACAGTAGCTGCAGCTGCAACCGCATACCCCCCGGGCCGGGCCTCCACCTCGCCCTACCGTGCAGCCTGGTTAGTGCCCTGGCCGGTGCCAGCGCGCGGCACGCGTCTCAGCTGGCTAGACTCCTCCCCGGGGGCTGCCCCGCGCAGGGCTCCGGGCTCCGGACAAGGCTCGGCCGGCCCTGGCGCTGGCTCGCCGCTGCTCGCGGCTCCAGCGCGGGCTCCTGCTGCCGCGCGCGAAGAGGGAGGGGTGCGGGGGAAACTCCCGGCAACTCCAACTCCGGGCTCTGAAGCTCCAGCTGCAGCCGCGCGCCCGCCCGCCGCCGAATGCGAGCGCCTGCAAAGCAAACCTGCCCCCGCGGTCGCCTCTGAGCATGCCCAGTGCCGCCGTGGGCGAGCCCGAGCGCCCTAGCCCGGGGCAAAGTGCAGCGGCAGGGGCCCAGGAACTCGCCCCAGGCTACAGAGCACAGGGGGAAGGGGGTGGAAGGGAGGATCAAGAGCGCGGGCTCGAAGCAGAGGACCTGGAACAAACTGGTCAGTGTGTACAAGGCAATGTGAGTTTCATGGGTTGTGGGAAGTTTGTGGGCTAGAAAGATGGATTGCTTCTGTGAGCCTCTCTGGAAGACTATATTCGAAAGAACAACCAGAAAACATTTATTCTCCGGGAAAGAAAGAGTGGGCCCTGCAGATAGGTTTTTATCCAGTCTCCATGCCTAGGGTGGCAAACTCAGAGAGCTAAGGGGACCTGATTAGCAATCAATATAAATTAGTAAAGTGAGTGGGAAGAGGCGAACTGAGAGATCATTAAGGGCAAGGCCACTGTTCTGCTCTAGATGTCCATTGCTGTCGTGCAAGAATTCAGACCAAATTTTGCTGGATTTTCTGATTTTTTAAGAAATGGCAGAGATGTCAGTTTTCTTCATGTAAAATATTCTTGTTATTAAATCTTGATAACAAATACAATTTTGTTTTCAAAAACTAAACCGATCATAGCTGTGTCCTTTCCCTGCTCAGCCAGTTTGAGCCAATGAATTCTGCATTCTTGTACTGGAGAGGTATTGAGTGCCCACTGTGGTTGGGAAGGTTCGGGAAAAGATCCAAGATGATTCAGACTGCTTTCAAAGTACTAGGGGAAATAGGATTTTCCTGACAGAGAGCTACTGATAAATGCTGGAGCATTCAAGGAGAGGTAGGTAATGTACAAAGTGGTTGTGAGTACTAAATTTAAGAAAGCATCATCGATAAAAGTACCTGTGTGGAAAGTCACTGCAAGATAGGTAACAAAGCCCATGGGAGGCATTTTGGAGTCTGAAGCAAAAGGAAATATCATGAACATTAATCCTGTCTTTATTTGAATTTTTTTCATGAAATATTTTTCATCATTCCTTTTTTTACTAGCTTAGAATTTTTTAATTCTAAAAAATCACCCCCTACATACAAAGTGCCTTCTAATTCATATCATTAAAATATTAACATTCAATACTGAGTTCTTTGGCAAACCTTCAAATTGTGGGTCCTACTTCACCCTGGACTGGCCCTACTTGGTTTGAGTAAAAGGAGCAAGAATTAGCATACCAAAATAGGAAAGAGGGTTGCAGAAATGGCGGGGGTCTCAGGCATAGGGCCTGATTGCCAGTGTGTGCAGCCTACAATTTATTTGTAGGCTCTGTGGAGAAGAGAGTAGGAGAAGAAAGTGGCATAATCCAAACTGAACTCTGGTTAGATGGGCCCAACAGTAGAAATAGGAAGATGGTTTGGAGGGGAAGAATGGGAGAAATGGGGATACCTAAGGTATCTTCACTGTTTCATGAAAATCAGAGGATTTCCCTGATAAGGTCATGTAGGCTTTGCCAGTCTCTGAAGGATACATGCAGGGTCTAGCTTAGTTGATCTTAAAGTGAATAAGTGATCTTAAAGGAATTTGGGGCTAGGGATATAGCTTAGTGGTAGAATGATTGCCTAACATGCATGAGGCCCTCCTGGTATTGATGCCCAGCAACACACGCACACTGAGAAAGAAACAGAAAGAGAAAAAAAATGTAACAACCAGGAAGATCTTCCAGATCCTGGTCTAACCTCAACCATTTCCCTATCATGTTTAGAGGTGGATGAATGACTCCACCTCTAAGCTGTGCTTTCCTTCCTTGCGAAATGGAAAACAATTCTCACAGTGTTCCTGTGAGGATTTAGAGAAAGAGTGTATGTCTAAGGGTTTTAGAATGTTGAGAGTTAAGCAAATAGAAGTTACTGTTTTTAATTACATATCATCTATATAAAATCTGAATTGAAATGAGAAATTCCTACTGTTTTACAAAAGTTGTCTTTAAGTAAGCAAGCTTCATTGATTCAACAAGATATTTTAATGTGTTGGGATGCTGTTTATAATACTTTGGAATCAGCTTTTGGGTAATTGAACAATTTTGTCATTTAAGGCATTCCTATAATATGCTAGTTCCCATTGCCAGTCACCTCTTTTTTCCTCACGGTCTTCTTTTTTTATCTTTTCTTTCTCAATATTGAAGGTCTCATCAAGATCACCCCCTCCATACAAAGTGCCTTCTAATTCAAATGCAGGCCAGCACTGTAGTGTCTGCCTCATCCAGACACCTGGGACCTACCTCAGTGCTGTGCTGTGAGTGATTTTTCCCTGCAGGTGAGCACATCAGTTGCTGCATTCATGGGGAACAGACCAGACTGGCACTTATCTATGGGAAGCATTTTAAGCATGCCAAACTCTCAAAGGGGAAAAAAAAAAGAATGCTTGGGTGTTTACACAAGAATCCTTCCAGAAGTTATGGAAAAGAGGAAGTACCTAGCCCAGAACCTATCACATAACAGGTAGTTACAAATATTTGCAAAATAAATAGCAGTTTCCATCATCAAAATCTTCTTTGTCTCTGTTCCACCTCCCACAGTTCCTAAGAATTATTATTTTTAAAAATCACAATAATGATAAGGTCATCAAAAAGAACAAGAACAGGATGTAAACATTTATATAGGGAGGGGTTCTGTGCTTTTACAAGTAAAATACTTTTCTTACATTTTATGTGTTTGTTTAGTTTGGGTGCTGGGGATAAAACCGTGGCCTCATGCATGTTAAGTACGTGTTCTACGACTGAGCTACACCACCAGCCCTCTCTGCTTAAATTTTAAGTTAATTGTATTTTTAATTATTATTAATAAATAATACATGGTATAAAGGAAATACAGTACAAAAACCAGCTCAGTTCAGAAGAAAAACAATTTCCCTCCCCAAGAACTACTATTGTTGCCTGTTTCTTACATACAATTATAGAAATACCATATGCATGTCACTGCAAGCATAGCTGTTCTTTTTATTTTTAAAGTACAATCATGAAATGATAGAATTGATAAAAAAAAAAAACCTTCTAGTTCATCTAGATGCCAAGTTAGAGACTTTCAAAATGTCCTTGTATTGTGAGAAAGAAAAGGAAAATATAAAAGTGATCTTCCCTGTGGCGCTAGTAAACTCATGGCTGTAAGGACATGGGACCACATGGCAAACCCTCCTGTTAGCATTTAGTGATGCAAGAAAAAATTGAGTCCATCTAGAGTCACCCTGAACTCCCTAATGCCCACTGTGAACCTCACCCTAAAACACCTATGTATTTAGATATCTCACGTTGCCTAGGGCTATGGACAGACATGCTGTTGAAATAGCAAATGGAATAAATTGAGATGGACACAGAGAGCTTGAACCAGGGAACTGGGCATTATAACATAACTATTTTTAACAGCATCACTTATGATATAACATCATCAATCACAGTATGTCTTCAAGACTAGCAAAGTCTATATATTATTTTTAAACTCCTCTACTACCCAGCATAGCTAGTAGCTTTTCAATTTTTTAATTCTTATGATGTGACTTCAGATAAGGAAAATCAGGAATCCATCCACTTATCAACTTGTAGGTTAAACCATATCAAACTGTCGTTTTTGTTGGTCACAGTATCTTGAATATTTAGAATTTCATGTTTCAACCTTCATTACATTCTTCCAAAGTAGTCTTTGTTTTTAGAACCAGAAGAATCCTTATTCCTTGGAATAACATTCATTTTCCTACAAAAGCCATGTCACTAAAGTAGTGCTGAGCAATCTATTTGATTCCTAAGGTTTTATAATAGAACCTGATCAGGTCTTGGTTGCTGGGCTGATTCTATGCAGAGCAAAGAGGAAGAAATTTCTCTCTCTCTCATGAGGAGAACAGCACCAGCCTTGATTGGTCTTGAAATGGGTACAAATATTGTCAGCCTCTTTCTATTCTTTTTGCACCTTACTTCCCCAGAATTCTCCTGAAACCCTTTTCCATGTATTTGTCCTCTTCATTCTGGCCTTAATTTTCCTATCTCAGCTTGCCTGTTACTTCCTATTTTTAAGAATCAACATTCTTTTAGTATACTTCAAGTGAGAACTGAGTAAACTAACTCAGTTAAATTAATCCACATTCATATGTGGAAGGTTATCAACCTTTCCAAAGATATGTGCAATATAAGAGTATCTTGTGGTCTTAAAGGAATTTGGGGCTAGGGATATAGCTTAGTGGTAGAGTGATTGCCTAACATGCATGAGGCCCTGGTATTGATGCCCGGCAGCACACGCACGTGGAGAAAGAAACAGAGAAAAAAAAAAAAATGTAACAAGAAAGAACTCTGGAGTTAAGAGTAGAAAGAATGTATTGAGGAAAGGAAGAAATTGGATTCCTTGTTATTCTACTCTTAATAATTTCTTCCCATCCTCCTTCTTCAAAACTATGGATTCTTTTAAAGCTTTGGGTTTTATTTAGCTTTTCACAGTAGCTCCCTTGGCAGTAGCAGCAAGCGTCCCCAGGCTAGTGGTAGCTGTTGAATGTATGTGTCATCTGTAAGTTGGGAATGAAATCTGTCACTTTTGGTGACATTGATACGGTGAGGTCTGGGAGATCTGCAGAATTCAGATGGGCTCCTAGAGCTTGTGCTTGAGTTCCTATTCTGTTCCCCACACAGCTAACCTTGGTCTGTGGTTTCATCAAAACTTTAAGGATGCTAGCTAGTTTATAACTGGAGCCCACCCTTTTTTTATGACTGAATTGTCATAAAATAGCCTGTCACTAATTTACTAAATATACAATTTCTTTCTCTTCTATGCTTTTGAGAGCCAGCATAGCCAGGCACTGTGGCTTGTGCCTCTAATCCCAGCTACTCAGAATGTGCAAGACAC